TTCTATTACTAAATAATATGTCAAAAATCATTTGGATTATTATCGAATGAGAAAAGAAAAGGTTATTTTTATGTAAAATGCATAAAATTATTATTGAAAAGAAAAACAAATTAACCATGTCAAAGGCGATATATTTATATCGAACCTTTACATTTAATATTTTCATCATATTTTCAACAAATGTTTTCATTTTTAAAGTCCAAATATGTAGTGCCTGGTGAAGATAAGACTATTTAAGATATTGACTATTGATCTTCTACATACAATATATTATAAACTACAATGATAGAGAATAAATCGTCACAAAATAAAGTTATTCCTACTGATAAATGGAATTCACTTGTAGATAGTACTAATGAACATACAGAAAGCCAATGGAAAGGTAAATTATGAATAAAGTATTATTTAACTTCATATTAACTTTTTGTTCTTCTGTAGGTTTAAATCAAGTACAACGCGTAAAACATGTTCTATTCTTAATTGGAAAACTGATCGGTTTATTACTTTTGCTTTATATTTTTGTTTGTTCACTTGACATAATGAGTTCAGCTTTTCGACTTGTTGGAGGTAAAAATGATTTAATTCATTATGATAAATAATTTTCCTTTTTTTTTAATTAGGCAAAATAACTGGAAAAGCATTCACAGAAGGTGCTGTTCTTTCGAATCCTATTGCTGGTCTTGTGTTAGGATTATTAGCAACAGTTATTGTACAAAGTTCATCAACATCAACGTCAATTGTTGTTTCAATGGTTTCATCTTCGAGTATAGAAATGCATTGAAATTTTAAATATATTTTTTATTTTATTTTTTTTATTTTTACATTAGTTCTACCTGTTAAAAGAGCGATTCCAATAATTATGGGTAAGACAATTTGTTTTCAATAAAACAAAAAAAAATTTATAAATAATTACATTTTATTTTAGGTGCTAATATTGGTACGTTTTCTTGTAGAATTAAATTTCTAAATTTTATTTTCTTCAAATAAAGGTACATCTGTAACAAATACGATTGTTGCATTAACACAATCCGTAAGTAGATATGTACTAGGTACCAAAATTATTCACCAAAGTTTATTTTTTCTGTTGTCATAAGCGTTAGAAAGAATTCAAATAGTGATTCGAATAGAGAAAATAGTTCCCAACAAGAAAATAAGGAAATAAAAATTATTATTAGATTCTCAAAGATAAAGATTTCAGAAAACCATAACTCTGGTTTTTCCAGTATCTAGAACGCGTAAATATAATTTTATTTAGACTATATAAAATGATAGAGTAAATAATTCTGTAAAAAACGAGATGTCTTCGAGTTTTCGGCGACGTTTGCTGACTGAGATACAGCAATCTTACGGAAACTTCCAAAGTCATTTTTGTTTTTACTATTTCCTGTTGAAAACCCATTTTTTGACCTTCAATCAAATTGTTGTATCGCAGCTTAGAAACGTAGTCGAGAACTCGGAGATATCTTATTTTGTAGGGAATTATTTAGTCTATCACTTTATATAATCTAAACAAAATTATATTGACGTGTTCTAGGTGCTAAAAAACCTAGAATTTTCGTTTTCTGAAGTCTCTACCTTTGAGAATCTGATAATAATTTCGATTTCCTTATATTCTTGTTAGAAACCATATTCTCTATCCAAATTACTATTTGGATTATTTCTAGCGCTTATGATAGCAGAAAAAAATGAAAATAAACCTTATTGAATAATTTTAATACTCACTATACATATTTAAAAATTTATAATAAATAAAATACATTTTTAGAATCGAAAAGAAGAATTTCGTCGAGCTTTTGCTGGTGCTACTGTTCATGATATGTTCAATTGGATGACAGTCATCATTTTACTACCATTAGAAATTGTATCAGGTAAATATTATGATTATGAATGATATTTTTATTGGATAAAAATATTTGATTAGGTTTATTGTTTCATATAACGGAAGCAATTACTCGATCGAGTAGTCTTGAACGAAAAGCTAATTCAAATCCACAATTTTTAAATGTACTTACAAAACCATTAACACATCGAATAATTCAAGTACAAAAATATATATTTAAAATTTTATTTTTGAAATATATTTCTTATTATAGTTAGATGAAAAAGTCATTCAAGATATAGCTCTTGGATCAGTTAAACCTCATGGTTCACTTATTAAACGTTATTGTTCATATCAGAATATAACAAATCAGAATGGAACATCAATTTTATTACCAGAAAAACATTGTGAATTTATATTTTCAAAAATTTCATGGCCTGATTGGGGTCTTGGTCTTCTTCTTCTTCTTTTTTCAATAATTGCTCTTTGTACATGTCTTATTTTACTTGTTAAAATTCTTCAATCAATGCTCAAAGGAACAATTAGTACAATAATACATAAAACAGTTAATGCTGATTTTCCTGGTATTTTTCATCATTTAACACCATATTTAGCTATTGGAGTAATGAAATAAAAACAGAAAAAAAGCTAAATCAATAGATTTTCATTTATTTGAATTGTTATTTTTTATTTAGGTTGGTTGTATATTTACAATACTTGTTCAAAGTAGTTCAATATTTACATCTACATTGACACCACTTGTTGGTCTTGGAATAATATCTATTGAACGAATGTATCCATTTACATTAGGATCAAATATTGGTACAACAATTACAGGTATTATGGCAGCATTAACAGCAACAACAGCTCAAGAGCTTCGTAATTCATTACAAATTGCTTTATGTCATACATTTTTTAATGTACTCGGTATGTTTATTTAATATTATAATTCTATAGGAAGGAATACATTGTGGCTTGTGTTTTGTTCTTTATTAGGAATTATAATTTGGTTTCCAATACCAATAATGCGTAATGTACCAATAGCATTAGCTAAAAAATTAGGTGACACAACAGCCAATTATCGATGGTTTGCTATTGTTTATATAGTAGCATCATTTTTTATTATTCCATTAATAATTTTTGCTATTTCTCTTGCTGGACTGTATATCATCAGTTTACTTTTTTAAATCTTATAACAATTGTTTTTTTCTTTGTTACTTTAGGTATGTCTTTATTGGTATATTTGGTCCAATATTATTGATTATTATACTTGTTATTATTATTAATTTTCTTCAAGTACGTGCACCAAATATTTTACCGCATCAATTACAAACATGGTCATGGTTACCAAGACCATTTCATACATTAGCTTGGTACGATGAACATTGTTTTCGCAATCAAAAACAATTAATATCTTCTAAGGCAAATGAGTTACCAATAGTAACCAATCAAACTATTGAAAATAACGATGGTCATAAGAATAAAGCATTTAATGATCATGATGATATTGACAAATTATCTGGAATCAGTACTTATCTCTAATCTTTAATATAGTTTTATTTTTTATAAGAAAAAAAAGACTTTTGATCAATATTTATATAATAGATTAATTTGTGTCTTGTTTTCTTTTTCTTTGGTAGTTACAAGTATTTAAAATAATAAAAGCACGTAATTTATTGTATATTTTAAATATTGTATGAATGAGATCATTTAACAGATATCAAAGATGAAAAATACTACAGGTTAAATCGAATTTTTCTTTTGTCAGTATCAAGACTGACAGAACAAGTTGAATGGGGACTAGTTAATATTCCATCGAATACATTTCGATAGCATGGCCATGAAAATAATTCAATAAAAAGAAAATAGATCGATTCGATATTCCATTGATCTGGAATGCTTTGTACATGTTATTCTTTATTCGAAGTACCTTCTCGACCGTTTTCACTTGTCCTTCTTGCGACCACAAAAATTTATGTGTATC